GATCCCTCACTACCGCCTGACATTAAAATGATGCACCACAAATGCATCGTATGTATCGACATGGCCGTCACGAGGATCCATAATAAGATCAGTTGATATGAGGACCAAGGGGTTGGGACATGGATTAGGGAAGGAGAAAACAAACTGAACATCTGTGTCCAAACCTGAAGCGGAAGCTTGTCGGCGGCACTGCCACTAATTTAAAGGATGGATTAAAAAAAGACCGCCTACAGTCAAAAGGGGCCTGAGCACACTATTCCAATGCCACCTCTACAATCACCCTAATTCCACCTCAAGAACAGCAGCCCAGGTTTCATATGTTGCAAATATATCGAGCAGTTATCAACTCCTCCGTCAGTTTTCAGAATGCATTTCAAGCGTGAATCGTGGGAGACCTTTCAATGGATAGTAATAGCACCACTTCCATTAAAGTCTCTACAACCCCTCGCCATTAGTGCTTGAATTGTAACCTTCAAGCACGAAATGCTGAAGACAAGCTTCATGAGGTGACGCAAAATAACCTGTTGCAAAGAATCAAAACTCATCCAAACCGATCCTCTAATGACGCAGCGGACGACATGTAAGGGAAATTCGAAGCACAGCAACTAAAAGGCCAAGGTTCCGAACTAGGCTAGCGAAATAACATTCAGTCAAACAGTTGTGAAGCCGAAGATTCCAATAATGAGGGTCGGACTCAACACTTCCCACTAAATGAATTCAAGACGATCTATTTGTGCATATTCGACGAGTCACCAGTGGTAGAGGTCAAGTAAACGAATCATTCAAAGAACCAGAGCTCTGGTGAAACCCTACCAAAACAGTCAAGGGCGACACTCAATTTGACATCCGTAGAAACAGTTTAATACATTACCAGCGAAAATACATTTGACAGGGCGTTTGATCATGACACCCCAGCCACTGTATTTACGATGATGACACCAATTTCTACTCAAAAACCGGAAAACAAAATTATCAATTTCGCTATTTGAACATAAACAATCTACACAATCCATGAGTTGATTTGACCCCAGTTGCAATTTTCGAGGATATACGTCACATCTATGTGATAC